GTGGAATAATGCCACGGGGATAAAGTCGATATGCACTTGTACCGACCGAACTCTTGAATTCCATAGCCCTACATTTCGGTCTTTTCATTTGGCATCAGAACTGAGCTCGGCCCGAAGGTAGAGCATACTTTTCAGGGCCTGACAGGTGGGCTAAATAGATGCAACAATAATTAACTGCAGCTGAGCCGAGGAGCGAGATAGAGGGCCCAAAGTGGAGAAGGTCGAGCAGCTTTTTAGCCCCAACTTGCCGGCTTGCCGGCAGCTTAACGTGGCATTAACGCAATTTGTCACAGCAGAGCAGACACCAAAAACCCGACAGCTTAGCTACCGAAACTTTGGCCTTGCGAAAGTGAAAAGGAAACATTTTGTTTTATGCGAGTGTGTACGGTACGGGGAAATAAGTAGGCGACTGCAGGGCCTGCGTTCCTGTTTTACTTTTCACTTGGCAGCATTGAGCTGACAGGTGAAATGAAATTGCGTGGGCTGCACTTCGCATTCCTTGGCAGCGCTTTCCTCTCCAACTTTGGCTTATCCCGCTCCGCTCAGCTCCACGTTTTGAATACGGCATGGGGATGAAAAAATTCCAGAGAAAACATTGACAGCCACAAATATATGTAGCCATGAATTTTCCATTCCCGTTTCCTCCTGTACTTGTAGTTCGGAGCTACAAACTGCAAAATGACAGCACTCTGTGGCTTAAACAAGAAATGCCGGGCAGGTAAGCTCCCGAAGGAAGCTTAACAATGATGGCTGCCGACTCGAAGGTATTTGCCCAGATTCGACTGAAAATGTAAGCCAGGACTTAACTACAAGTTTTTGGACCGGTGGCACTGGCTTTGCGATTGATGAAAGATTTTAATTTGGCAATATGATGGTGCAGTTTCGGAGAATTTGTGGCCCCGAGCTATTGCTTTGCACTGGGCAAACATGACAATTTTATTTGAAACAAATACCTTAGCTTGAAGATACTTTAAAGTCCACAGCCCCATAAATCCTGCTGACCACGTTGCAGTCGACGCAATTAGAAAACCTGCCACTCAGTTGCTCATTGATAGCTTTAAGCTGGCAGTGCCAGTGGCAGTGCCAGTGGCAGTCGCCTACCACCTCCCACTTACCACTCGCCACTCGCCACTTGCCACTTGCCACAAAGGAGCGGGGACCAGTCAGCAAAATCGCGCATACGGCCCGTGGCCAGCTGCATCAGCTTGAATAGCAGCAAATCGCCTTAGCAGCTTGCGGGAAAACCCTAATAATTTTTCATGCCCGCCATTCGCCGCTGTCTCTTGGCAAAGAAGGAGGCGCCTCCGTCGCTTCTTGCTACAAATCATGATAATAAATTCCAATTTTATTTAGTCAGTGAGGCGGCAAAGCACCCTTGTCATCGTCATCGCCAGCGAAGGAAGCGAAGGAAACGCGAGGAGGAAGGGAAGCTCTCGGCCAAATAAAGGCAGCCGAACCGCTTCATCTGGCTGGGAAAAAAAGGGTCTGCGTTTCAACTACTTGGATTAACGGTTCAGTTTTATGACTTTTTATTTTATACAGATCCCACATTTAACTTTCCGGCTTCTCCGCCCGTCAGTGCCCGCCAGTTCGCCAGTTAGATAAATACACTCCCAAATTGACTTGGCCTGCTTAACTTTTGGGAAGGACATAATCAGGCCTGGTTATAATGAATAGTTGGGGCTGGCCAAATCGGCAAACAACGAAACCAGAGGCGTCACTCAGCCGGCCAGCTCATCAGTCAGTCCGGGAAGTGCAGTTGGAGAGGACCGCAAAGCCCTCGTTATCCCCTCTCCGTTCTCCACTCCCCATTCCCTTCTCCCCATTCCCCGCATCCCGAATCCTGCCTTCCGATCCCTGCATCCTGCTCGAAAACTGAGAGCGACGAGCTGGTGCAGCATCAGCGCCAGCCAAAACACATTAGCCGTGTGCTAAAAATGTCGCACAGCCCAATCGGCCCAACGCACACATTTTTCGAGGGGAGGGTTCCTAAAATTCACGACCCAGTTTAAATGGTAAATGGTAAATGGTTTAAAATAACCCCTTATTTAAACTGCTTTGACTTGCTGACTGGAACTAACATTGTTTTTATTTTGGTTAGATACTTGATTAGCAATAATTTGTTTACAGCAATTAAAAAAAAAATTTGGTATACTCGTAGATATCAATTTAAGTTGTATTATTAAACGAATCTTCTTTGAAAATAATTATTACTTTCAGTCTTGAATTTAACTATCAGAATCTTTTTGAATTTTGTTGTTAATTCGGAATTTTACGAGTAACCCTCGGTAGCAGTGAGTGACCAGGCGAAGGGTCCTTTTTTTCCGTTGGATCTGTGCTGGCAGGACATGTGGCAGTTGGCAGTTTGCTGCGCTTTCCCCGCCACGCCCCCTTACGCCTCCTGCTTTTGGCTGTGGCCCTTCATTGCCTGTTGGCAATTACAACGTTGCAATGTTGATGGCATTTTCTTCCTTTTTTATGCATATGTATGCACACACACCACACGCCGCACACACACACACACACACGTAACGTAACGATGCTCACAGACAGGCAGCAGCTTACAAGGACATTCGGAGGGGGCGGGAAATGGGCTGGAAGGGGCGGGCCAGTGGCTAGTCACTTCCGCCTTGCCTGAAGAGGTCGTTCATTTTTTCATAATACTCTTCCCGCTCTTTGAGTTGCTTGGGTCCTTGATTGCATTGGCCTTTGTGGATGTGAAGCTAATTATGGAGCACAAAGGCGGGGTGATTAAAACTAAATGTGCGGATTAAGAGATGGAGGATATTGCATTAGCCATTGTTGCCAGTCAGATAAAGGGGTGATACATACAGGGGTACCATACATCATTCCCTAACTTGATCGCTTCAATTTTAATTCGCATATGCCCCGCGATTGCCTGACTTCGAAGACACCTTCCCCCACGAACTCGGTTGTTAATGTAAATATATCCTACAGCATTATCGCATTCGGTTAAGAGGGTAAACTTCGTTCGACAGATTTCACTTGCAACATTATCCGTAAAAATATGTACATTCGTCCGGGGGTTGGTTTTCCGTTCCGTTTTTGGGTGGTTGCAACCGAACACAATTTATTCCGCACACAAACAGTTTTTGTTTTACCTAAGCAATCGCTTCATTATAAAATCGATGCGGGGGCGGAGTGCAAACTACCCTTTGGTGCGGAACCGGGGGTAATCAGATTGTCCATCAAAGGAGCCGAGCTGGGCGCTCTGGTCCTGCTGCTCAAAGCGGTTGATTCAATGACCGAGTAAAGCTTTTCGAATTGAATTCTTCGGGAGCGGGAGCCCCGGAACGTCTCCATCGCTCCCCTGGACTCGTTGTCAACGGATTGGTGTTAATGTCCTTTGGCATTGTTGCACTGCCAGGAGTTCCGGGAGCAGGACGAGCAGAGCCACAAGTCGACTGTGTGCAAAATAGACTGAAATTGATGATGTCACTTGATAGGGCGAATGGGTTTTTCATTTTTCACTTCTCGCTCTCGCATGCACCCGCTGGCCCCTGCCCAATCTTGGAGGTCCTGCAGATCCTTCGTGTTCGTGTTGTTTAACAAATTCATCCTGTTGCTTGCGCTTCAGTGCGTGATGCCCAGCAGATTGTGGTGTGAGTGTGTGTGTGTGTGTGTGCCGAATGTGCATTCGATTTCCACACTCTCGTGCAGAGAAAGAAAATGGGGAAGAACAAATTCGGAAATCAAAAAGGACTCTAACAGATGAAAACGGAGTGTTGTTAATCGTTCAAAATATTGCCTTTGAAAGGTTTCCCCTGATAAAATTAGATAAAATTAAGGCAAGACAAACCTTTAATTATCTCGATCGAAAGATAAGTTATCAGTTCAAGTGAATTTTTATATTTCCAGTGCTATGGCTTAATTGAACCCCTCCTTGCTGGTTTTTGAAATAGAAGCAGCACACAGCCATTGTTGTGCATCGAATTGTTTGATTGGCTTTTCTTTTGCACGTTTTTAATTAGTGGGAATTTGCAGAGATCGGGCGGGAAGAGGGTCCTGTTCGGCAGCCACGGTCCGTGAAACGAAAACGGAATGTTGTCCTTTGGCACATTAAACAAACGAAATATTTCATAAGCGCATTGCGCTCTGGCCACAATGCCAAATGATTTATATGCAAAGTGGCCTAAGCACACTCGCACAACTGTGTGTGTTGGCCCTGTTTTCGCAACCCCTTCCCCCTACCCCCTACCCCCTACCCCCTCCCCCATTCCCCGTTCCACTTTCCACCGTTTTTCCCGCTGCCTTTTACCTAGGCCAAAGCCAAACAAACCGGTAGCAATCGAGCGAACTTCACTCCACAGCTTTGGCTACAAATTTTCCAAAATTTATAACAAAGGCCCACACACACACACACGTGTATCGTTTTTGAGCGGAGGGGTGTATGGCGGGGGGGTAGAGGGACCCATGGGTATTGGCTACCTTACGCTTGAGTGGCTCGTGGCTCATGGCTCATGGCACTTTGGCGCCAGCGCTTCGGCTTTGGGGTCTTTGCCTCGCAATGGATGACAATGTAGCCAGGAGACTGTAAAATTTATGCACTTTTAGGATTGTTTGCAGTGTGCTCAAAAGGGGAATTGTTCCATTATGCGATAAGCATTGGGATTCTCTTTTAAGGTGTCTTACTGTACGAGAAGGGCTTCGCAAGGCATTCCTGCTGCACTGGGTCAAACTAGAAATTAATTATCTTATTATGCTTTTCTGTAGAGATCTAAAGTGGTGGCAGCTTGTACCAACTTATTCTGGCGAATGGGTTGTCTTAGAAAAGTTTATTCATCTTTCAGCACTCTTCCAAACCAAATACTTTCAAGCTAAGACCCTCCCAAAATCGATTCCGGAATAAGCCTTGATTATTCCACTTCAACCCGAGTGAATGCAAGAGATTCGCGAGCTAGGATTTCATGCGCATCTCGTGGAATCACAGATTCTTTTGTTGGGATAAACCAATTGAAATTCCCCGCATTGCCACTCACCTTGTTCGAATTACCATTGAATTTCAATAGCTTCTTGCAGGACTTGCCGCGGCTCTCGAAGTAGACTTCCTGCGGCGTCCTCCGGCGTCCTGTCGTTGAGACGGCTCCCTTGCGCTGCAGCTGGAGCTGCGAGATGGGGTCGCTGCCCGCCACCGATTGCGTCGCCTTGTGGCGGCTCACACAGAGGAGGCGGCCCAGGATGCCGCAGCAGCCGCTGGGAGGCGCCTCCTCCCCTGCCGCCGTGCTGGCTGCCCCGCCTTCCGCATTGTTATTGGAGCAGCGGGCGGATATGGTCATTAGGTTGCCATGGCGGCCGGTCGGGCGATTAACGTCCATTTCCATCTTGGCCAGCAGCGAAATCGTTGCCTACTTGGCGGCGTCGTCTTCCCTTGTTGACTTTCCTCGGCTTCCACAGTTTGTTTACAATTTTTGATTGCGGTTCCTCTGACCGCAGGCTGTATTGTCCTTTCCCTTTTTATCTGTTTTTTTCTTTTTGCGAATGCTTCTGCTCTGCTGTTGTTTACTGGTGGTTAAAGTCTCACCGAAAAACTTGGCGCCCTCACGCGGACGCACACACACGCGCGCAAAACACGTAGCACTCACACCAATAGCGAAGTAACGGGACTTCGCAGCACTCTCAGCGCGACGAAGTTCACAGGACAAAGTCAGCGAGCCAACTGATAAAAGCCATGGCTTTTGGCTCCGAAACTTGCGCTCTGCAGGGTTGCCAGGTTTTCGCCAGAAGAGAGCGGAGCGGGGCTGCCGGACGGCGGGGCGGGCGAAAGAGAGAGTGCGCAGGCCGAGTCCTGCGGACATGAATCACCTTGTGTGCATGAATGAAGCAAAGTTATTACGGTCTTCCCCCGGTTTCCATTTTTTGCGCTCCATAGTTCTGTAGTTCTTGCTGTTTACGTTTCCCAGGGTCAAAGTTGTACAGCCTCTCGCTTTGTGTTTGTAATTGTTTGTGCGGCAACCGAGCGGCGCCTCATGTTGCACTGTGAATTTTTCGGTTTTCGGTTGTCGGTTTTCGGTGGCGAAATGCTCGAGTGGTAATGGGTAGCAAACGTTTCATTAGGCTTATAACAAGCAATTAATTTCCATAATTGTCGCCCGCAGAAGCGATTTAAGATCAAGATTAATAGAATGGTTTGAGCTAATATGGGCGGTTATTAAAATTAATAATATTTAATAAATAAACTAGTTGAATAGTAATGGTGCTGTTAACAAGCAATTCAATTATGCAACTATTCAATTAAAAGCAACTATAACACTAAATTAAACGACCAACAAAAGTGTTTAGCTGTTAATACCAACTGTTTTGTGTTATGTGAAAAGTAATTAAACAAATTTACGTACACTAAGGGGTGCTAAAAACTAATCGAAAATCAATTAATTCTTCTTTAATGAAATTTGCTTTCGAAAAAGTTTGTGCATTGATGATAGTTCAGTAATTTCTAGTTGAAAGCAAAGTAAAAAAGGGTAAATCAAAACTTTGTTTAATATTTCTGATCTTTTACCTTAAAAACAAATTACATAGTTCATTAATGTATGAAAGAACTTCACTCAATACTTAATTGATGAATGATTAAAATTGATTTCAAAAGACTTATTATATTTAGCTCTATACGATCCTACACATTGCTGCACGACCTCAGCCCAAAGCCATCGGGAGTATCAAAAAGTTGGGAGTGCAGGCGGAAAAACAATTTAATTTCGACCAGCAAGGACATGAAGAAGAGCCAGCGCATGTCCTTGTGTCCCGTGTCCGTGTGAGCGGCTTGTGTGTGGTGGTGCCTGTGACTATAAGTGCTTTCTGCTCTAGACGTAATTTCAATGTTTCAACGTAATCTTTGATTTGATTATGCTGTTGAGCTGCCCTCCCAGGGGGCGGTTCGTGAGTGTTTGCCAGTGTTTGTTTGTGGGCCTGTTTGCCTGTTTGGCTGTTTGTACGCTTGTGTCTGGACCACTTCCGGGCAGAGCTATAAACGGATTATAAAGTAATTTAATGCTTTTTGTTGCCGAGGATGCCGGGCCGCCCCGAATGCGGATGTGCACATCTACGAGTGTGCCTTTGCCTTTAGTGGGAACGCATTTGGACAATAAAAACTTTTAATGTCTGTTGTTTGTCTCTCAATTTATTTAGCACGCGTCACGCATACGCCCAGTTGGCTGCGCCAAGTTGCGAGCTCCTTTAATGAGTTGGCGGTTTTAGCCGAGCCTGGCCAGAAGGCAGCCGTCCCGTAATTAATGTCGGCCTCGTCATTTGTGTGAAACTGCGAGCGGGCCGATCGTTTTGGCAACATGTTTATCTGGCCCAATGCCCATATATTAATGTCCGCACACACGGATACACGCATTCCCTTAGATTGTCACATTAATTATGTACGTTAAGCTGTCAACGTGGGCAATATTTTTGTATCCCAAAGTCCACATCCTGTGAGTCCGTGTGTGTACGCTACCGTGTTTCTGTGTGTGTGTGTCCACCGCAATTCCTTTGCCATTTTTCTTGCTTTCATCTGCGGCGATAAGAGCGTCTTAGTTTATCTTTATGCCCGGGCTTGCCGACGTCGTGTTGTGCTTACATCTTGCTGTTTGCCAAATAAATACGCTTGATAATGCGACACGACCATCATATTGATGAGGCTTCCGCTTGCTTTGCGTTAAATGGAATGAAGTGCCAAACACAAGTTCAACAAGCAAATAGATTACACGGGCAGATACGAGTTCGTATAAGTCGATCTGCAGGTGGGCGAGGGTAAAGGATGATTTTCTAACCGAGTTGGAGGCAGTCAAGTCTTTAAGGCATTCAAACTGAGCAAACTGAAACCAAACTACAATAAAAGCTATTTGGTATAGCCTACAATTCCGTTGCCGAGAATGACGATTTCCAAAATTATTTGTTACGAAAAAATTTTTCTCTTGAAGCCATCATGAATCGAAATATTCGTCTGGAATATACATGAAAAAATCGGCATTTCCATTTTAATAATTTTACCCATGCGAGCTCCGACTCATACTCGTAATTTAATAAATATTTCTCTTCAAATGTTCCACATAAAAAACCACCTCAAAAGGCTGTTATGGCCTCCGAAAGTCCTCTTTACATTCGGTCTCAATTACGCACCAATTTCTGTCCCTCTGTGTGTGCCGAATGCTGTTAGCAATGAAAACTCTGCAACTGTGGCCGAAAATGAAAAGTTCCATTGCATTTGGCAAACTAAAAGAGAAGTAAAAAAGAAATGTACTCGTATAGAACAGTTGCCTAATTGCAAAAATGCTGCCGGCCAAACACAGAACCGAAAAAACTTTTTTTTTTGGCCAAATGGAATGGAATGGGTAGCGCCGTTCCCCTGCAACCCCCGAAAATTTCTCCAAAAAATGGAAACTACGCTAAAAGCTTAAACAAAACCTCAATAAAGCCGTGGGGCGGGGCGGGAAACACTGGGAACTATTGAGGCGGCAAATGGCAAACGGAAAAGTTTGCGACGCATGCGCAAACGGACCAGGACGACGTTGGCAGGACTCAGGGCGTCAGGACACCAGGATACTCGGCTGCCACGATGGCAGAATGGCAGGATGGCAGGACGAGTGATGCAAGTGCAGCGACAACTACAACGGCATGTAAATGACGCTTTTATGCTGCAATCACGTTTCTTTTGCTCCTTTTTGTACCGCTTTTATGGTTTTTTGTTTCATATGCAGTGAAATTTTATGATTATTGCCAAAGCGACAAAAAAGTTGTGCCGCAAACTTTTACAGGCGTGTGAAAGAGGATGTCCTGGAAATGGGCCACAGATACCCCGCACGCGTCGGTTTAAATGTCATGCTCCGATGCCTTCATCAGCCACGCCCACCTGCCGATCCACCGCCCCGCCCCTCCCCGCCCCTCTCCATCGAAAGAGTCAGCGCACTTTGCTAAGTAGATGAAAATGAAAATGACGACATCGCCACGTCCGGAGTGCATGAAATTTATGCAAATGCACGGAATTTGTATGAAAATTGTTTTATTCCATCGCGTCATTCCCTCACCCACACACACGCACACACACACACACACACGCGCGCGCAATCATAAAGCACGCTGGTTGTCTTGTGCTTAAGCCAGAAATTACTCATACCACATGTTGTCCGCCGTCGCCGGTGTCCCCACGGATCCCTATTTCCTGTCCCGTCGCCAGTCGCCAGTCGCCCGCTGTGTGTTTTATGCAAATTTTACCGCTGTGCGCAACAATGTTATTAAAAAATGATAACAAGCCAAGCACAGAGCAGAAAAAATGGTTGCCGGGCGAAATGTTTTCCAGGCAGCGCGACTATTTTGTATCCTATAGGCAATAATGTGGGAAGTATGTCATTAATTGATATGGAAATGATTTCTTAAGGTTGAGGTGAAGTGAAATTATCAAAAGATAATTAGAGTAGTAGATCGGTTTGTTTTAGAATAACTAGGGTTGATATATTAATTAGTAATGAAATATAAACTTCGTAAAAGGTAAAATATGGAGCCACTTCTTTAAAACTTCTTTTAAGCAAAGCTTTGATAATATTTCAAGTGGCAGTAAGTAATCTTAGGAAGCCTTTAGTCACTCCATTAACTATGAGCTGTTTCACTTTAACAATACCCGATATACCCTCTTGAACGAGCTATAGATAGTGGGACCCAACGACAACTGTCAGTTAGACGTTTGTTGCGGCTTGCCCCTTGTCAACTTTTTTAGTGTTGCCTGTTTTTGCCGCTCGTGATGTTGCTGTTGTCATTTGCATGCGTTGCGAGGGAAGAGGGAAAGCGGGCAAGCGGGAAAGGGGGAGGGGGAGAGGGCAGCAGTCACATCAGCTAAGAAATTATGCAGTGAAATATGTTGCCACAGCGAGGAAAAACAAAAACAACCGACCAAAAACGCACAAAACAATGGGTGGAATGGAGCCCAGTTAGAAACACACACAATATATATGCGCAGAATGTGAATATATTTTATAAGACTTAGGAATATGACAGACTGACGGCCGAGTTGCCAACATGCTGCCAGAAAGGAGGTCGACCCGAAACTCTTGCGTTTGCCGCGGAAGTCAGGAGTCGAAGGAGATCCTTGTTGGAAATGTAAAAGGCATGTCAAAAATTTCCAGCTCGCTTCAAGCGGCATTAGTTTTGCCGTTTGAATGGCAAGCATTCCGGGAATCAAGTATTCCTGTTCGAAAGAACAGGAGCCATTAACCAAGAAGGCACTTGGCAGTTCTCCGACCTCAGCAGTCTGAGGTTGGCCTTTTAGTCTGCATTTATTGCAGAATTCATCATTTCATTAGTGGCTTGTTGGCTGGTTGAGTGGGAACGCTGGTTGATTAAGATATTTCTAGTAAATCATTTGTTCATTTCACCACAATGTTGTCTGACTTGAATTGTGATGGGGATGTAATTTCTAATGGGACTTATGAAGCTTAGGTTTTAAGTTCTGTTTTTAAGATTCTTTGGATATTCATTTTAACGGAATTATGCACAATTTAAATAAAAAGAAAGGTGGAAAGTATATTTAAACACATTTTAAAATCAGATAATGTAATCCTTGTTGGCCCAATTGAAGTATTAGATATGCTTAACGCTGCTTGTCGTTTGTTTATTCAATTTATCTGTAACTATCCTTTAAAGCGATTTGTCAAACAGCTCTTGCCATTT